GATTGGTCCATGAGTCGGCTGAGTGGTGCAGGCTGCAAGATGGGTGTCGCAACGGTTCTGTGAGAAGTTGTTGTCGAATGGCGTCCGACTGAACCGCCTCGACTTTTGGAATTCCCAGATGGTACAGTAGGCACTGATTGGACTGCGTCTGATCTCGAGAGTGACCGCCGAGGGCCTTTTGTGTCGCGCGCAGAGGGGCGAATTGACTGTTGCTGGCTGACGACTTTCCGGCCATTAAGTTCGCCAGTGCTTACACGACTTCTTAACTTGACACTGTTGGTTTGAGAGTGGCTGTGTCCTCGATCAATGTCCGAGCCTACTGTTACTTTTTTCATTTGGCGACTAATAGTCTTCACTTCCGAGGTGATGGCAGTTGTTGAATTTGACCTTCTGAGTACACGAGATTGACTACCTGGACGGTAGTCATTGGAGGAAGGTTCTTGAGATAGAGATCGTTGGCCATTCGGGGCTGTAGTTCGCCTCTGAGATCGTTTGGATGAAGGTGGAGCTATTTTAGGCGACGAATTTGCCCCAAGTACACCGACACGAGGAGTTCGATGTGTGCTGCGCTCCCTCTCGCCCTTTTCGAAGTCATCATGTCTGGCTACCGGATGATCTGCTGTCAAGCCCAGGCCGTCTGAACGGGCTGATGGCATCCAGTACTGGAGGGAAGAGCAAGTAGAAGATACAGAACCCCGAGAACCTGGTTGGAGCCAGCGAGAGTCTAGTATGGACAAGAAATCTTGCTCATCTGCCTTGGGTTCGTTGATGCTGGCTTGATTTTGTTGAGTTTGTTGTGGGTTGGGAGACGAATTGAGGTCGATGAATTGCTGCAACCTTGAATCATCCGAGGGCATGAAGAGCTGGGGCCGAATCTGGTAAGGAGTAGGGCTCGGAGCAGTCGGTGTATGAATGAATGGGCTTTCCAGGGCCGCGGTTGGCCCTTTCGGCCGACCAGAGACATTGATGGAGAGATCATCCCTTCGAGAGAAAGAGCTAGACTTTTTGTAGGCATGATTGGAAGTCGAGCCACTGTGTCGGGATTCTCGACTTGGAGACTCGCGCGAAGTACCGTCTAAACTTCCTCCAGTACGCCCGACGTTGCTGGCATCTGTCGTGTCGGACTCTTCACTACTAGGAGTATTACACGACTCTGAGACTCCATCTTGTTCACCTATCCGGTGTACGAGCTTGGCAAAAGGCGGCGCGTCAGTGTCTACAACCAGAAGCTCGTTGTCGCACCGGCCGAGGATTCCATATATGCGAACCTCACCAGACTGGATTCCCACAACCGTGCTAGTGCCGGTATAAAGAGCCTCGCTCTCCATTCCTGAGCGGTTGGCAAAAACGATGATGATTTCCTCATCCAACCTGGCCTGAATAACCGGCTCAAAGCGAGAAATCCAGTACATCAGCGTCGATGTATCTGGCTCTTGTGGTTGAAGGTTGTACACGGTGGGTTCATCATGGGTTGACCATGCCATGGACACGATCACAAGCCGCGCACCGGAGTTCAAAATATGGTGGGCAAATTCGAACTTCTCCCATGGAGCCTCGAACTTGTAAGGGCTGTTGACTGGTCAGTCTCATGTCAAAATTTGATAATATGCAGTGTGCTCACTTCAAATCCATACATATGCCTATTGCGGTTGGGCCAAGATTGGGGAGACGGCCACGGTAGAAACCGTCAGGTCCTTCCAGCGCCCATGTCACGTCCGTATAATATAGGTTTGCCTTGCGGTAGTTGGCGACCGTCTCTCCATCATCGCTGATTACTAGGGCGGAGTTGTAGTATTCGGGGTCGGCGGGCCAGCTATCGGCGGTGTCTACCCTTTCTGGGTAGCCTGTAACAACGGTGCAATCGTACTTGAGCGCCATAGAGCGCGACCATAGTGAGCTGATACCGGAGGCGGGCGACTCGAGATACGGGGAAATGTGTTGCAGCGATTTGAAATTATAACCTGTAACAGCAGGGAGGGGAGGATGAGACACTTCTTTCTTCCATGCGACTTACTCCGACTGGGAGCACTTACCAGAGAAAGCCAGCTCCGGCAGCACAAGCAGATCCAGGCCCTCCGGGTCGGCGTTGGCCAGGATCTCATCGGCTCGAGTCAGATTATTGTCGACATCACCGACCTGCGGCGCGAATTGAAGGCAACCGATCCTCATCGTGTCCCGGACGGCGGGCCCTCCCCCGTGCGCTGGCCTTACCGTGAGGAGTGTGGGACAGAGAGCAGAGGCCGGGGACCTCCAGGTCGCAGATACTGGCCGTGAAGTATTCCGCACAAAGGCCAAGGCCAAATATATTTAAGGGCTGCACAAGTCGGTGGAGGCACGGAAGGGAAAAAAATTAGAACCAACAGCAGGAACACACCGTACAAGTCTGCCAGCCACACGCGCGGGGGCCAGTGGGAAGTTGCGACCCAACTGCCATGCGACTACGGAAAACTGGGGAATCGAATGAGGGGAAGATCAACTGGGCTGAGGACGAGAAGGAGCAGTCGGCAAGCTAATACTGAGCAGCTACTCCTACTGCAGCTAGGCGGGCGACTCCCGAGCTCTGGTTCGGGCGACCGTCCTGGTGGAATCAGACTAAGGACGGCCTCGTGCCATCTCCATCTCAACCCTAAGCGCAATCCTCAGGACAGCCCCAATCCCAATCAACGGCCGTCTTGGCTGTCTGGCCGGCTTGGACGGCAGAAACAGACGCCGAGGGGCGGCAGGGAAGGAGAGGCTTGACTTGAAGAAGCCTCCGCGCGGTCCGCACTACATGTCCGTACCTACATGTCTAGGTAGGTACTATTCCTGGGGCATCTTTTCTGCACCCAATTGAGGAACAACTGGTGGACTACCTTGCAGGAAAATAGGCCATTGGCGTAACAATAGTTGGTGGGGTTCAGTTACAGTTATGTACCACAAGCTGCATCTGTCAACGTGCAGCCGGCCAATCAGCACCCGACAGGAGTGTGTTAAGCGCCCATATATATATGGGGTGTTGGTGTTGCATCGTGCCAGCCAATTGCGCCCACATGACAATGTGTTTCCTTGACGGGTGTAAGCCAGGGATCTGAAGAGAGAGAGCGTTTAGGACGCCCGCAGAGCCAAATCCCCTGCAATTGGGGGCCGAGCCGTCGCTCAACCACTTACACTCCCTGCACCTGTATTGGGGATGTGGGTGCAGAATGATGCGATACTGCACGTTGTCCTGCGCCCGTCTTGCGACCACGGCCCCGGCTACGACGTCCTGCCCCACTACTCGAGGCAGAAATTTAGGGTGAGAATGCGGATGGGACGTGTGGTGGGATTCCGTGCCATGGTGAGTGGTCTGAGTTGAAGCATCGCATCTGTTGGTCCAAGTTTGTTGGTTCGTAGGGTTACCAGTGCACCGGTGTCACTAGCCAACGGTGCATTGGAATTGGCATTTCGAAAACTATTAAACTCGCTTATCTCCCCAACACTTCTTTTGACAGAAAGAGAGAACGAGGAGCTCGTAAAGGCCAAGAGCGAGCTGCATGCGTCAACAGTTTCGCACCCATGGCAGACTTCTCCCTGCTATACGCTCCTGGATGAGGACTCTCAGAGGTGGGTGGTAATACTGCCTGACCTCCCTTGGGGGCCTCTCTTCTCGTGTCGGCCCCGACTACGGCTCTCTTCATTTTGGTCCATCTAAAAGAAGATGTTTCTGACTCTATTCTATCTCACGCTTTATCTCACTCTAGGATCTCTTCGCTATTACCTCATGCTTGGGGTCGGGAGCACGTGAGAAAGTGCCACACAGCACAGGGACCAACCCTCTGAGTTCGCGTGTTTGACATAATATGGGGTTACGTCAAGATGCAAAGACAAATGCAAGTCCCGTCATGCCTAGACTCTCCAGCACGATGATACCCTACCTACCTTGATAATGGCGCATCAAAATTGGGTGGCGGCAAAGGAATAGATGACCATCTACCCTCCACAGCAAATAAACCTTGCAATGCAACCGTGTAAGTGGTTAGGCCTTGCCAGAAGCGATGCCATGTCCGCGCTATCAGATTCAGGCCACACACCGGATCTAAAGAAAGACTGTCCAACGTGGAAAGATTCTAGCCTGGCCCACCATCCGGGAAAGTCAACCAGGGAAGAGATAGTAAAAATAATATGCGAGGAAGAGAGTGAGTCGTGGCTGCTGGGCCAGTATCAATAAAGCCCATGTCGGATGTCCACTGTTATGCCTGTCCTCCCCACTGGTACGACCAGGGTACGGCGGTTGCTGCCACTGCTCCAGGGCTACCTGACCACTAGCAGCACACCGAGCAAGCTGAGGCCCCCCCGAAAGACCCCTCGAGCCCCTCCCAAGGGTCCGCTGGTGGGCCGCCGATGGGGCCGCCCTCTTTCATCTTGCCCCATCCGTCTAGACGACCTCATCCACTCAATCGCTTCCAAGCGCCGGGAGAATGCGTCTCTCCTGGGCCAATTACTTGCGAAACCCGTACACTCGCAGATTTAAGCGACTCAGTATCCTGGCGATTAGACCTCTACGTGGCTTACCGCTCGCCAAGCTCTCGAGCTATTGGCCCAGCCCCCGGTGCCATGTGTCTATTTTCAGCAACATCCAGCGCCCAGCTGCCCAAGGTGCCATCTGAGCCGGCATCTTGATTGATCGACGGTTACCATCTCCTGTATGGAAGATTTTAGCTTTCCTGATCCATTCTCGGAGCGGTCTTTCCAGCAAGCCACACCCTTGACATGCATAGACGGGTGCAGGCTAATTAGCTGCTTCGTCAAGCATGCAACCCCATCCCCGATTCTTTATAATACTAGTTGTTCCCACCGCTGCCCATAAGCCTCGCAGACTTATCTATTCCATATCTTGTCAGGGTCTTCAAGGTTGAGATAAGTCCGTTGGCCGTTTAGTCTTGAGCAACTACCACCACGCCATGTTGATATCGGCTTTCTAACTAAACTCCCGGGGCCAACCTACTCTTCTCACCTCACCCTCCACATAAGACTCCGCAACAATGGCTCGACTATCTTCAGCTTTTCTCCTGGTCTTGTCGACATTGACAGTCCTTTCGCTCGCTCTCGAGTTCACACCTGGCTCCTCTTGTGCCTCTCTGTGCATGGACAGTGGCGAGACGGACGCTTTCGACGCTGCAGCCTCTTCCACAAACTCCTCCGACATCACCTGTCTGGATGCAAGTTTTGGCAGCGATGCCACGGGAAAGAAGTACAAGAGCTGTGTCGAGTGTCTTGCCAAGAGCGACAAGGTGGAAGGCAGCGAGTCGGACATTCACTGGTATCTTTGTATGTGGATGGTTCAGCTCTCCAATCATACCCAACGTTGAGCGCACTAACAGTTGAACTTGATAGACAACGTTCGATACGCCATGAGTACATGTCTGTTTGGTCTTCCTAGCGCCGCTTCCACCCAGATGAATTCGCCTTGCATACTCGAAGATGCCTGCAAGAACCTCAAGGGACCCTTGACCGAGGATAATCTCAATGCCAGCCGGACAGATACGTATGGTTACTGCGACGCGGCCTCTGGCGCATTCAAAGAGAAGACGGTATGGTCATGCGTAAAATGTCTCCAGGCAACCTCGGATCAGAAATATCTATCAAACTGTAAGTCTTTGCAACATCAAGCACGAACGATACATCCAAGCTGACCGCCACCCCAGTCATGATCGCACTCCAAGCAGGCTGCCAGCAGAAAACAGAGCCCGGCAAGACACTCAGCCTCAGCGGATCGATCTTCCAGAGCAGCCGCATCAACATCACCGAACCCACCGAGAACATCTTGGACCGACCCGAGGGTGCTGGAAGCAACTCACTGACCACCGGCGCCATCGTGGGCATTGCCATTGGCGCGGCTCTCTTCGTCCTCGGTGGAATCGCCTTGGTCTTCATGCACCGACGAAGAAAGAGGCAGATTGAGAAGAACGAGAAGGCAGACTACCATGCCAGCCAGGCCAACTCCCCCGACCCAATCCTGCCTCCCAACGGAGGCTTCATGTCCTCTTCCATCCGCTCCCACAGCCAACAGAGCCAGCGCGGGCTGGACTACTTGGAAAAGCTGGACGAGGAGAGGCGGACGGGCAGACCTTCCGTCCACTCCACCAGGCCATCCCAGAGCAGCTTGCCGCGCTACGTGCCGCAGGCTGCCGCGCAACCATCGCGCTCCTCGGAGTTCGGGCGATCATCCGTGAACTATGCGCCTTCGGCACCGGCGCCCGCAGCTCGAAGGAACCATTCATCCACCACGCCTGAGTCCTTCGCGCTCAAGACATACAGCACTCATGCCACGGCACTGGGAGAAGCTGGCGCCTCAGTACCTCCTCCTCCGCCACCCCCCCAAGAACGCCCTGCTATGCCTTCACTTGTCGCACCGGCAAACCTGTCGAAGCTTCGGGGGCCCAAGACTTATATACCACCGACTATTACGGTGACCAGCGATGACAACCAAAGGTGATGATCATCGAGTGGTTGAGACGGCCCTTACCTGGATGGGCAAGTCGAAATTTCATATTTGTAAATAGAGAGAATTCCCCTGTAAATAACAATCATTGGGAAGGCGTTTGGAGGATTTTTGGCACGCGAACACGATACATGGCAGACGGAGTAGAGCTGAACTAGCTCACTAAATTATCCATTTTTTTCTTCATAATTTTACAAATCTCTAAAAATTTTCTTCTTTGCCAAGCGTGAATTACTACTAGCCCAGACGGTGGCCCTGGCCTCTTGTTCGCCATGAATCTGGCAGAGGGCCACCCGACGAACCTGCAGGTCTGCCAGAGGAGGAGCCCGATGAGGAGCTTTCAGCGGGGGGAGCACTGGCCATTCGGCCCTGCAAATCTGGGAGATTTTGGCTCACCAAGTTTACCAGCGTGCCCAGAAGAGGTGGCGTTGGCAGCAGGCTACGCCCGTTGCCGCCGTATCGCGGCCAGACCTTGGTCAGGAAATCGAAGAGATGCGCGGCAATCAGCCCGTAGATCTCCAGGATCATCCTGATGGCACCTCCGGGGAAGACGAGATTGAACAGGATCAGGCAGTATGGGAGCAGCTGGGCTGGGATGGTGAACATGAAGAGGAACTTGGTCTTCATTCCCCGCTGTTCCTGCGTGGTGGTGTAGCACATGGCGAGGATCAAGGCGTCTAGGAAGAACGGGAACGGAAATCCGACGAGATGATTAATTCCCTGAATGAAAATTCTTGATTAGCTTCTCTAGGGCTTTTGGCAAGAAGCAAAAACATATAGCTAAGCTAAACGATGTTGAAATGTAGGGAGCAAATAAACACCCGTGTGAATGGACTCACACGGGCCATGTATAAGTTATCCCACCATGCCTGCACCCCTCGCTGACCCGAGGTTTGCGAATATTGGGCCAGCTCGGCATGCAGGGGTAATCTTCCTCAGTTCCAGGAACCGTGATAGCTGAAGAGGCAAAGCACTATCCGGGCAGATATATGAGGGGGAGTATTGTCTAACTAAAGGCACGGGAACATTGGTGATGAGAGCAGCGATGGGACCTACCAGAATTGCACCCCCTACGCACATGAGGTACCAAATCAGGTCCTCAGTCTTGGAAAATCTGGGGTTGCCAACTTCCAATTGGCTCATGTAGATGAAGAGATGGTAGCTCTGGAAGAGGAAGCTCATGCCGGAGCCGGTTATCATGAATCCAGTCACGCATCGCCATATCTCGGGCGGGAACTTGTACACGTAGATCGGGTAGTACGCGAAGGTCTTGTCTGAGAGGGCACCTAAGATTACGCCCAACGAAAGAAGAACTGTAACGGTAGTGAAGGTCCTGGGAATCATGGTTAGAACAAATCGGGGAGAAGACGGGTTGGCGATTTGCTTACCTTGTGACAGGAGGAGCCTGGAAATAGTGGTCCAGTACGGCGTCCATGGTGAAGAGGAATGGCTGGCTACAAGACAAGGAAATGCAGAGTGACGAGGCACAAGATTCCAGGTGGGAAACAATGACAAGGGAGGTGCACGCTTAAAAGGAAAACCGCCTGGTGTCCATGTGGAACTGGAAAAGGCCGGATTGGGGGGCTGCGACAGGCCGCAATGCTTGCGTGGGCATTGCTAAACAAGCTGGTGTCGTGTCATCTTTGAGAACGGAAAAAAAAGATCTCGGTGCAAGGCCTTTTATGGCAGGAAGCTTTAGCTCAGCCTGTCAAGTGGGTCTATCGTTGTATCGAGGTGGCTGGCAAGGCAGAGCTCCTTATCGGGGTTTGAGCTCAAGCCACATGAGGCGGGCATCTGGCTCGCATGACCTCACCCATCTCACGGCCGATGAGATTGAGCCTGATGTTCTCGGGGATTTACCACTACTTGGAATTATATTGATTAATCCTTTTATTTACCAATTCGCCTTCTGCTATTCAAGCGAGGATTAATTGCCTATTTTTAGTCTCGCTATTCTATATCTGCAGCAGAAATCAGGCCATTTGTGCAAGACTACCGAGCAAAATAATCATAGGCTCACTGAGCGCTTACTTTTTCACCATCTTCCGGCTCAACCTTATATTGCGGCAGGAAAAAGATTCTTCTTTTCTCAATTGCTAATTGAATCTTCTTATCTAAGAGGTGAAGCCGAATTGGTCCGCCATTTCGGTCGTCGTCTCGATGCGTACCTCAGACTCGAAGAAATACGAGGAGGCGGATGACGCCGCCTGGGAAGCTTGCAAAGGTGCCATGATCGGTGCCGGCAAATGGGGTTTAGGAACTGCCATCCTGGGAGGTCTAGCATATCTTCGATCCCCCGTGTATAGGTCAACGACCATACAGTTTAAAGTGTAAGTTGGCATTGATATCATTTTTCATTACCATTGTTCTTACAAGACTATTCTCAGATATATCCAGTCTTCAGGTATGGTTCTCGGAGCAATGCTAAATGCTGAATCACGACTGAGGGAATATGAGGCCCGAGTCAGGATGCAGAGGAGGTTGATGAGGGACAAGGCCAGATGGGATCAATACGAGGAGGAGCTTGCAGCTCGAAGAAACGAAAAATCGTAGTTTGACATAGGCGAACTGCTAAACATCTTGTATATTTTGCAGCGGGGATCAGTTCATGCGCTATCCTCATACTTTTGTATTATCTCTCACCGCATGGCACATGTATTTGTTTCGTAGCAGAACTGCTGGTTCAGACCAGCCCAACTCCAACGCCAATATAATGCAAACTTGCTTAACTAGGCCGGTGTCTTGAACCGTTTGGGATCCATGTTTATCTTGCAAAGCCTGACGACACACCCGCTGAGCTGCAAAAGTGTTTGAACACCCTCCAGGATCTTCATGTGCGTGAAACCAATCTCTTTAATGAACTCCAATTTGGAGTGCTCGCTCAGCGTCGGAATCGTCTTCGTCACCTTGAACATTGTACTAATAATGTCGTGACTCGAGTATCCGAGATTCCAGAGCTCCCGCAGTGTGTCTAGAGCTGAGTCGACGTTTCCTTCATAGCACGCTTTGAGCATAGCTTGCACCTTGATTGGGTGAGGGGAGTCCACCACTTTGAAGACGTTGTCGCCAGAGACGAAGCCGAAACCAGCCCATGTAGATTGGAGATTGTTGATAGCCTGTCGCATATCCCCCTCGGCACTGAACACTAGGGCCGCCAGCCCGTCGTCGCTGTATTCGACCTTTTCCGCTTCGATGATCTGCATGAGACGCTTAACGACTTGCGCATCGGTAAGCTTTGCGTACCGCAAGATGGCGCATCTTGACTGGAGAGGTTCGATGATTTTGTTGGACTGATTGCAGGCAAAGGCAAATCGTGTCGTGTTGGAGTAAATCTCCATCGTCCGCCTCAGTGCCTGCTGCGCTCCGGAGGTCATGCTGTCAGCCTCATCAAGGATGACCAATTTGTGTCTCCCAGCTGGCAATGTGACCTTCTTCTGTGCAAACCCCTTGATACGATTTCGGACGACATCGATACCACGCTCGTCACTGGCGTTGAGCTCCAGCACGGCTTCTTTGTAAGATTCGCCGAGAAGCTGCCTTGCTAGACACAGCACGCTGGTCGTCTTTCCGATTCCGGGCATGCCAGAAATGATAACATGTGGCATGTTGCCCTCTCTCGCAATGATTTTCAACCGCTCGATCGTCTCCGTGTTGCCGACAACATCGTCAAGGAATACTGGTCGGTACTTTTCAACCCTAGGAGCTGGTTACTTTTTTTGGCCGTCGTCATATTGATGTGCTCTGGCCGGGGAGACTTACCATGGCAATTCATAATTTGCCTGGCCATTTGAAGAGCTATCCAGGGATGCCTTGGTGGCAGCTGTGGAAGACTCGCCTTTCTCCTGGGGCTTCGCGGAGGGCATTTTGGTGCAACTTGGTTGTGAGTTGAGCTTGGTGAGAAGCACTTAACGCGACGAGATGGTAGAAGACGCGACTTGGAACGAAATAGGCACCCTGAACGCTAAGCCTAATCCGGGCAGGCACTGCACCATCCCACGACCAACCAGATACATCCATCTTAATATTCAGCCAGAACAGCATATTTCAATGAATGTATAAATTATGGAATGCTCAATGACTCTTATTTCATATCATATCTGCTCCTATATACTGGGTTTTGTTTAATTGACTAGAACTCTGATCCATTGGCAGTACACGTAGTGATTTGGCCGATTTTCGTCGGGGTACAAGCTCAGCTAAGCAACCACAATCACCACTTTCAGTCATCAATTGAATACTTTGAACCGAGTGCACACCAAATTCGAAATACTCGTGCTGTTGAAAAGGAAATTAGGGCAAATATTAGACTATGAAACTCGCCACCCGTGCCCTCCCCCACGGGAAAATGAGCCTGAATAAGTTGTGTGCATTTAGTCTAGAATTTGTATGCTAGTATCTAGTTACACAGGGTTGTAAGTGACAACGAATAGGTGATGATCACCAAATCATGTGAGATTCTCTTATATGACCATTTTCTCACTCAAAAGCTTTGAACATATAATTCCCCGGTGTAAATGTGAAAATTAATCCTTACAGCCCGAAATTCTCAAAAGGAATACAGCCCTCACCCCTTATGAAGAGTAATAAGCTTTGTAGACTTGGAGGGTGCCTAGGACACATCGTATCAAGCTAAGCATCGTTGAGATGATCAAAACGGTGATGGCTATCCAAAACGTGTACCACTGTGGGCCATTTCTCCTGTCAAACCACCATTGAGTCAGAGTTGCTGGTGTGGCATCATCATAGCTCTGCTTGAGTACCACCAAACGGTCTCGCCAGTACTGAAACCTTTCTATCTGTCGTGCGTCCGCTTTTAATGTTCCACATCGCAAAATCTGATCATCCACCTGACATCGGTGATCACTGAGATGTCGTTGACAGAGCTTTTTGAACCAGTCTCGTTTTTCACGTGTCGTTCAACGGGTAGACATGAACTCGGACTGTGGGAAGAGTAGAGCGAGCGTGCGAAAGGTTTCATCGACGAGAGTTTCGGGGAGAGGAGAGCGGCCTTCCTGAAGGAGCCCCTCTCTTTCTACGGGATTATATGATCGGACCATCTGAAATCAGAGCTGCTCTAACCCTAATGATATGTTGCATCGACAAAACATCCTAGCTAAAGCTAAGCGGTGTGTGAGCGATAACGGGGTAGTGAAGAGCCATGGCTTCAAGTTGGGATGCAGCGCTCTGTGCCTTGAAGCGAGGACGATGCCAATAAAATGCATGGAGGAGTCACCTTTAGACGGGGAGAATGACGATATTTCATACGACCCAAAAATAGGCTCTCTAATCCTTGGAGGCCGGCTCCTTTTCCGAAGCGATACTGGCAGTCTTCGGGCTGCTACGGGCGGCCCTGTGGTGGTGTTAGGAGGGGACCTGTATCAACTCAAAGTCGCGCACGTCTTAGAAAGAGAAGACTAGAACTCTATTCACTAAGAAGAGTTAGACTTCGACAGATTCGAGCTTGAAAGCGACAATGAGGAACATGTCTTCGAATATGACGGTGCTTCAACAAGCTTGGGAAGCATTTATTCAGATGAAAGCTCGGATGAGACAGACCTGGATGAATGTGGTGAATGCTCCGGACCATCTGGTAACAAATCTCACGGGGATGCTGTATGTAAACCCGATTTCCACCAAAACCATTGTCCAGAGAATCAAACTCACGACAGTTCTCGCGATAAGCTGCACTTGCCGGCGAAACAAGTTTGGCTTGGCAGACATATTGAAGATAGTGCGGTCTGCAGCTCTCCTAAACCGAGTCGCACTCTTGACTATCTGTTATTAGCGATATCTAATGGGGACAAGCTTTTCTCCTCAGTTCAAACAATGAACACAGTTCATCCCGGGTTGTACAAGTCTGGCAATGGGTCTGAAAAGGACCGTCAGGTGCTTGAGGTTCGACAACCAGCCGCTATTGGCGATTCGGAGAGTGAGGTAATGATCATCACCGCGATAGGTGCAATTTTGGGTACACTCATACCCGGTGCGACATCGTTCCGCAAACCTGGCAGTACGGAGTTCCAGAAAGTATGCATCGTTTTTGCCGAATCCCAAGCGTTTGAAGAGGATTGTGGTGCCGCCGTTATCGATGCATCAACAGGCTGCTTTTACGGATAGATAGTCCTTAGTGTTCCTGGGACATCCCTTGTATATATTGTATCCTCTTCGGAGATATTACAGGACATTGAAAACCAGACCGGTCTAGAGGCTTCTCTAGATATGCACCAACTCCAGAAGGAGTTTGGGAATGCGTCTCGACCCCCCAGGTTTTCTACCTTCTCCGACCTTGTGAATCATTCGGAGTTTGAAGTAGCAGCATTAGTCAAGGATAAGACTGACGGTCTGCCTCACGATCCTCTAATGGAACGTAATGATCAACCGTCACTCTCGTCTACGAATCCCGGTCTTTCTGTCGCCCGATCTTTCTGTCGCCCGATCTACAGCTCTCTTTACCAAGGCTTCAAAAACTCAAAGTTACTTTAATGTCTTCCGTGAGAGCGAATCATTCTTCCACAACAACTCGGTTTACGCCGGTAGGCTCAATGACTGGCCATCGGAGGACAGCACATCGATGCCATGGCATAGTCTTGGACCGGAACCAACTTAGGTGGGGAATAATAGCGAAACTACCTCCCAGGGAACTTCAGAAGATGAGGTTGCTGCCCCGGACACTAAATCGCCACAAATGCCACTAAACCCATGTTGAAACCTCGGGTGGCCCTTGGGCATCTTTAACCAACTCAACGCCGAACGCCATTTCTAAGAGGTTGCTTAACCTGTCTCGGGGATGAAGCAAGTTATCCCCAAGGCAGAACACGAAAAGGACCAACAAGGAGACCCTTGCTACATGTCCCACACTCCTCCTTGAGCGCTTGCGGGTAACAGAACTGTGTTAGTAACTACAAGCTTCCAAGAAGCATCTAACATTGTACCACACCCTAGCAAAGTCTCTTGCTAGCGCTTCTGGCTGGGACATGAGCTTAGAGGAGAATATACGAATAGGTGAAGATATAGTGAGCTAATGACATCGAAAAAAACCTGAAGTATACACGTGAATTTGCGAGGGGTACTTCCAACATGGATCTGAGTGACAACGTCCTTCTACCCCACCATAGAGCTCTTCCTCCTAGAAAATATTCGAACTCCTACCAAAATCCGCCAACAAATCCTAGCTGATTTATCATTGGTTGTAACTTCACCGTTAATAGAGAGAGGCAGCTTTTCTAGCCAAAACAAACGCAACTTTACTGGTAGGTGTGTTGGGTTCACGAAAGGACAGAAGACCAAAAGCATCCGTCAATGCCAAAAGACTCCTTCGAAAGCACCCATATATGAGATTCCTAGCACATACTACGAAACGCCCGGAAAGAATAATCTTGGTCACAATTGAGCGTGAAGTGGGTTGTTGGAGTTGTAATCTGGAAAGAGATGCCCAAGAGAGTATTTGAAATAGCCGATAAAGACAGCCATCTTGGCTTGCCACCACAGTGACAACTTCGGCTCACTACGGAATTACTTCCACACTGAGATCATAATTGAGGGCCATGGGATATATCTAGCAAGTGTGACCGAACCTGAACACAGACTCTTTTTCTTTGGAGGCCAATAGCTACGGCGGCATTAAATCAGAGGTTTCATGCACTATACACTGGCTACGACTCGTGGGCCAATATTTCCATTTTTGAAGACCCATTGAAAATAAATAGGATGCTTTTTTTCTGAAGATGTATTCTCATTCCCTCATTCGCATCATTTCTCATGAACATTAATCACCTATGCCCCGAAACCCGCAGGGCAAAATTCATCAAACCCATCGCATAATAAAACAAAACAAAACAAAACAAATAACCACCCGAGCTTAATGTTTGACTCGCTTGTGTGATCGCTCGGAGGCGGACCCATCCGTATAGTCGGATAGGTATTCATCTGATATGCCCGGAGAGTCGGATCGCAGGCGCTTCTTGGTTGGAGTGGACTCCGGCGTCCGCTGTTGGAGGACTTTGTCCAGTGTGTGTGTGACGTTCATGGAGATACTCTCGAGCTGGCGGATGTGTTGAACCTGGTCCATATCAGCGGCGCGGAGAAATGACCCGACTCTGTCGACGACAGTGGAAAGACGCTCAGTGACTCTCTCGGCAGAGCGAGCGCTGTCATCTAGAAGCTCCCTGTACATTTCTTGGTGGTGCCGCATCTCCTCCAGCTGATGCTCCATCAGACTCGCGGTCTGATCGTTCTTCTCCCGCGTCTCTTGGAGAGACTCGCGGGCGCGCTCGTTCGTGGAGCCGACGCTCTGGGCTCCGGATGGGTTGGGTTGCAGGAGCTTGCAGACGGTGTCGACGAGCTCCGCGGCGCGATGGGCCTGGACTTGAAGCACCCGAGACACGAGAAGGTATTCAGACTTGCTGATGTTGGGCTCGTAGAAAAAATCAGAGAGTCTCTGGAGGCGGTTGGGAAGAAGAGTCAGCTCCTCGGAGATAGGTCGGGTGAGCTCCCGAGTGCGGTCGGTGAAGGTGTCAATGATTGTCTCTTCGTTGTCGGTGATCACCCAATCCGCTCTTTCGGGGCAGTAGAACTGGAGAAACATTCCAAGTCGGTCTCTGGACTCGCAGTCCAGGACTTGGTACTCGCTCTTCTTGATATCGAGGACGGCAGGGAGAAGACCCTTCTGGTCTCTGCAGATAGAAACGCGGCCAACCTTGCCAATTGTTGAGCCATGCTTGCGCATCACTTCACCTTTGGTGATGACCTTGTGTTCGCGAATTGTCCCAGAAAACACTTCTGTCCGGACAGGAGTGTTCTCGAGTTCTTCATTCCCTTCAAGCAGCTTGAAGAGATGGGAGTAGCCCTTGATGGGGGGCACTTTGTATCCCGGACGCATCTCGACTGGGGTGCCTGAGTTGTCAAAGTTTCCAGCTGCCTGGAGGTCTGTCGCCTCCGAGCTCTGTGAACTGCTGTATGAGCTCATCTTGTTCTATGAGGCAAGATGATGGGGAAGCAGTGGTAGTTTGGTCAACAAAACTGGAATGAGCTTGGTGTTTGAGTGAGGAATACGACAGTATGAAGAAACGATGGATGAAAGAAAGGAAACTCAAGGTGAAATGCTGGAAGTCTGGAGATTTTATTAATGGAACTAAGAGGCCGGTGATTTCTGATCTAAGATCAAGATAAAAAGCCATTCATGGTTCAATGGCGACTGTACACAATAGAATGTCATGTCAATGGCATGCATATCCTCGTATCAATGGCCGCTCACTTATGCACATGCGGTTTTTTCATTGTATAGAAATCTCGAAAGCCCAATTGAACAATGTATTGAATGTAAACATAGACAATATGAAGAAGAGAGTGTACACACGATTTCACCAATTTGTCCAATATGTCTATTTTTCAGTATGGAGGACGTGGAACATGAAGGCACAAGATCAGGTGGCTGGGCCATTTGAAGATTAAAGGAACCGATTTCTGACATTGATAGTTGGCGCACCGGAACTGGAGAAAATCCCAAGGCACTGGCAGTAGTTTCTGGTCGTCAGCAGCTGGCGGGTGTGAGCAGTCGCCGGTTCTCACCTTGTCTTTTGACTTCTTGCAACTCTTGCCCTCCTCCAGAGACTCTCACTTCATCTAATTGTTCTTTGTCGATTACCCTCTCTCTGCAGAATTATTCATTATTTGGTCTCTCTCACATTGTTAATCCCATCCTACCGTAGACGTTTTAAGATTTCCAACGAAGGCTTTGGAAAATAGGAGAGAAGAGGTTTTATACGGGATCAGGAATTAGTTACCCTGGGCTTATATAAATATTCTAATTTAAATCACCTGAGTTGTTCACAATAGATGTGCCGACAGTGATCGCTTTTGTAAGACCTACTTCCCAGTGCTACTTCCTGTAACGACGCTGCGATAACCTCTACGAGCAACCAATCAAGTACACAGCATGATTAAACATCTCTCCCCCAAGCTTCCCGGCGCCAACGACGAAAAGGGATATGAAGAACCCCAGTCCGAGCTTAGTCCTCACTCGTGTTCAGTCTGGATTCCCCGCTTCGTCTCTGGTCCTTGCTCGTTCGTCGATTACATAGCAATGCGTAGTAATCGTTCAAAGACCCAGCACTCAAGAAGCCTTTAAGAAGGGGGGTCCGCGGGCGAGATATGGTCGCTAGTTTCTACGTGACTCAAGTAGCATGATTCGGCAGTAGTCGACTGTTCTCTTGAACAAGCCGGCAGAGGAGAGCACCACTATCCAAAACGCTGCGATCTAGAGAATTTCCTCCCTCTGCCCTCAACACCTGACCAGAAGGTGCTGCGAGCTCATCAAGATACTATAACAGCGATCCGTCAAGATGCCACAACAGCGATACATGGCCCGTCAAGCCCTGGTAGAGCTCTCTCTTGGGGGCATTTTGCCATACCCCGGTAGTCATCACGGCTTCTGAGGACGGAGCCGGAAAAGTTTTCCCCCGAGGAAAAGCTCCGCGGAGATGGGATTTTCTGTCCCAATGCACAAGCACACAAGCCAATCAGACATGTCTGTCAGATGACGGCATGGCACACAAAGCGACGCACCTCGATCAAGGATAGATAAGGATCCCTGCGTTAATTAGCCGTGTGGTGTGTGTGGCGTCGGGATGATGGAATTCTCAATGGCCATTAGCTTATCGCATCGCCGAGAACGTGCGTACAAGTGACGCTCACGCAATCTTCCCAGTCGCGGCCAACGACCACAAAGCTAATTTTTTTTTTCTTCCCTATCAGAAGTGATCACCGCCGCTCGCTGGACAGTGGACACACCCGTTTGCTAGGAGCTCCGACTGTGGAGAAGAAAAATTGCCAGCAGTCTCTGATAATGGGTGATGTCGCAATACCGGCCAGTGATTGGTAGTGCCGCAACCAACAAGGCCGCCATCACGAATGGTCCACCCCCATAGCCGGGTACGATGAGGAAGCTTGTTTGGTCTACTTGGCCGGCGGGGATGGCGCTCACCGACTTCTACTTGTGGGCTGTTGGGCAGACGATTTAGGATGGAAGCGAGGCACGGTGAACAATGTACGTATAGTTTGCGCAAAGGGGGAGAGCGTGTGGGTGGTGTCGAGGCATGTTGTCCCGGCCATTTTTGACAGACGAGGCAATTCTGGATAGCCACGGACGTAATGGCATTGTCTGCTGGAGGATCGGTTTCAAACGGCCAAAAAAGTCCAGACGAGGTGTGCATCATATGCACGAGAACCTGCATGGATATCCCCTCCTGCGGGCGTGTGGGTGACGGCGCTGCATGATTGGCCGGTAGTGGTCTGTGAAGCCCTCAATTCCGGGGGTGCATAAGTGCCTACCTAAGCCTGGGGAGGAGCACCATGATGGAGCCGCCTAGCATCGGGAGGGAGAGAGAGACTGAAGGGCGAGCCAGAGCAAAGGGTCAAGATGGCGTCGGAAAGTAGCGACGGAACCGGAAAGGGGACAAGCTGCTTGTCCTACAAAAGGCAAGCAAACCTACGGTGAGGTCGAGGGAAGGGCCTAGAAGCAGCGCAATTTGCTCTGCGGCGACCTCGTGACGTGAAAGAAAATTAAGAACGTAATGAGATGCAGATATTACGAGCGGTAGAAATGGGTTCCGAGTATTCGGCCGCCACGTCGTGGTTGATGTCGAAATTGAGGGCAGCGAGCCAATGGCAGCAGGGCAGGCGAGGCATCTTGATAAAAGAGATGAGAAATGGATTTGGCGTAAAATTTTCTGACTGGAGATGGGCCCCAAACTTTTACATAATCCCGTGAAAATTTCTGGGTGCTGGGTCCGATCGAAATGCATCTCCAAAACAGCCCATGGAAAGAGCAACGTGACCATCTTTAGTGAATCGGGGCAGGCAAGCAATCGAGTAATGGAAACGCACGGCAGGCGAATGAGAGGGCTGCGGATGGCGGCCTTCTTCAGTTCTGGCAACACAGACACCCGCTAGGAGATCGGCCGCGGGTCGAGTTAGCAAAGTGCATAGATAAGAGCCGGCCAGGGGTTTGCGCAAATACGTACTGTGTTAAGCTATTGACAGGAAAGCGCCTGTTTCACTGTCAGTCATGCGACCAGTGGAAATATCGATCGAATGTTCCATCAGCAAGGCCAGCACGTTCCCCGTCGCCCGTGAGACAAACGACGGTAACGTACATGAGGAGCGGTCGGTAAGCGTAAGCGGCCGAAACGATTTGCAGGCACACATGTGCTCCCTGGCTAAGGATGCCACGCACATCCCTTACATCAAGATGATGATGACCCTGGGTGTCTGGGAAGTATACACACGTCCCTACTGACGGGAGCCTCCCCAGACAGACCCTGGAGGAGCAGACCCCTAGCCCTGTCAAGCTGGTAGCTAGCACGCATATTCACCGATTGGAACGCCTGATATTAGGTAGTAGGTACATATGGCTACATACCGCAATAGTCGTGTGCACTGACAAGACCGGTCTAGCCAATGCGACTAGAGAGCGGCAGCACACACATCTCGTTGAAGGTTGCCGCTTCTTGAATACACTACTGTGCTCGGAGTCGCCTCCCGTTCTCAGAGAGACGCCTTTTTTAGTAACAAAAACCTACTGCAGATGTGGAGCCACGGGCTGTTGGTGGGCGTGGAAAGGCTGGCTTTGCTCATCAGAGAGTATGTATGTAGGTACATTTGCTGCGCATGGAGGGAACGCAAGGATGGCTTCAGAGCGTCCCAGAAGACTGGCTGACCTGACATGTAATGTAATGTACAACGGGTGCTCGGGAGCGACAAGAGGGAGGGTGGGCGATGGTAAGTGGGACGGGGTGAGCTTATCTACAAGGCGTAACTGACCGATGATGATGACAGCGGTTTCTGTACCTGTAAAGCGTGAAGAATGGCGAGTGGAACAGGATGGAAGTCTGGGTAACAATGGGGACCTGGTTGAACAGGTCGGGGAGTCCGCTGCTGCACTTACATTGCACACATGCCCTATTCCATTGCATGATGGAGGGCATGTGGCTGGACCGGGCTGTGGGTAGTGCGAGTGCGGGAGAATTACGACCATGGGCCAGGTCAATAGCAAGTCAAAACAGCTAGCTTTCGACATGCAGTGCAGGACGGACAATTCTATCGTCAACTCTGCGGGGGAGGAGCTAGGTATGATGCTGGCGCATCTTGGTGCTGCTGGCGCTGGCGCAAAAGCAGGGGTGTGTGTGAGTGAAGCGCGCCGCCTGGCGTGTTATCTGATTGACGAGCCACCTCACGCTCTGGAGGGATGCACATGTAGGCACCGAAGGGGTGCACTAACCTTGCCCTGGCCACTGGGGCTCTGGCACTCACACGCACGCGCGCCCTCTGGAGTTGAGACTGTTGAGTGGCCATCGCTGCCCCAATAGTGCTGGCGTCGTGAGGCCACACGCATTGGCACGTTTCGCCCAGCAGCAGCAGATAGGTACCAGAAACAGCGTCTCACCTTAGGTAATGGGCCGCTGGCTGATGTCACGGGGATGTCTCAGTTGGCCGACAGCTCCCCATCTGTCCAATGACGAGCCCGCGCACGCTGTTATCTCTCGCGCCCTACCAGCCAGTCTGTGCCCTGGGCTGGGTACCGCCTGCATGCAATTCGCAAGGTACCTCGGGCGCTCTCCCGCGAAACTCTACTGGGTAAGGCCAGACCGGCAGGTACAGACTCTCAGAGCCGGTCCGTCCTCACATCGACTTTTCTTATCAGCACACTGTCTTTGCTTTGCCTGTTGTTCTTATTTCCTCGCCTCGCCTCGCATGCCATGTCTTTCCTGCCCACGATCTCAGCCCGCCGTCTAGCCACTCTCTTCTCTTCCTTCTCTCCCTCGTCCCCCTCGCAGCTCTCCCAGCAAAGCTCTGCCCCCTCCCCGCTGTCTGGTCCCATATAGGCCTGGTTCGTCGGTGGCCTGTCTCCCTGCTACGTTATACGTAATACCCACATCGGAATAAAAGCCGGCGACTGGCATATCACAACTCGCCTTGCGACCACTTGCTGGGCCGTCAAAGTAGGTAAGTAATCCCCCAAGACAACTCGCCGACTCTGCAAGCCTACTATCGCTCCCCTACTACAACCTCATTCCTCTCTATCCCATATGCCCAGCTTCTCTCTCCCCACCTTCCCCCTCCATCAGTCCCCATCCTAGGCGACAACGGCATTCAATTAGCCGACAGGGACCTCGCGGTCATCAGGTTGATGTGCTAGCATGTCTAAATCTAGCATGTTCGCTCGCTCGCTCCTTGGGGTAATTATTGAGCTAGCTTGTCCTGCCCTTGGCTGAGACCCATCGCGGTCCTTCTCCCTAGCTGTCTGGCTTTCCTCACCCCCCTCCCCCTTCTCTTCGCCGTCTCTCAACCCCAAGGGTTCTTGGTATTAGAACTCGTCTCTCCCCACCAATTGATCACTACCTACCCGTCTGAGCTTGGGTTGCTGCCTACATATACATCCGTATACGTCTGGTGCTGGTGCTCCTCTTGCACCCGGGTTCTCACAACCAAGGCTGTTCCCTGTCGTCGACCGTGTCCGGGGAACACAACGTCGAGCCCTCACTCCTCCGAACACACACACTAGCAAGCCCCAGGCACGTTCTGTGTCGTTGTTTTGTTTTGCTGTTGCTTTTGTATTTGCCCTGTACCCCACCACCAACCCACTCTGCATTAGGCTTTGTAAATCCATCCTCTCCGGTCCGCCGCCTTACATTCATTTTACGTACTAACTTTGCGATTCATGGGCTGATCCAGGTCTCCTTCGTTGCTCCGCTTCCCCACAACGAGCACGAGCATTCGGGCGTCTCTGGCGTCCATTTGCGCAGGCGGGCTGCCTTGGTGCCCCCAATAACGGTGCCCCTCTATTGCGCACTCGCAGGATAAAATCCTCGTTCCTGGGCCTGGTCACATCCCCTTCTGGCCCCCTTCCCCCCCTATAAGAGCACGCATAGGCATATACATATGTCGGTTTATACCCTCCGACCGCGAGGGGAGGTCGGAGCCATGCCTGCTCAACTTACTGGTGCCATCTCGGCCGCAAGCCCAATCCACATTGCAACAAACGACCTCACAAACACCGTCTACCGCAAACACCACAAGCACTCCCGCTCCTCTTATTCTGAATCTTCGCCCCTCGCTGGCTCCCGGAACAATTCCCTGACCTTTCGTCCGCCAAAAAGGCTCATGCACTCGCCCGACAAGACAATCGCCGTCATCAATGCCGCTGGTCGCCAAGCCGCGTCTCTGATCCGCAACGCAACGGCCGTCGGATACCATGTGCGCGCCCAGCTGAGGAATCTCGAGGGCGTCATAGCCACCGAGGTGTCGACCAACCCCAATGTCACCGTCATCGTTGGGGAGCTGTACACGAGGCACCAGCCTACCGAGGAAAACAAGGATGTCACCCAGAGCGGTCCCATCTCCGGTGTCGGCGTCAATCATGAATTAATATCGAACCTCTTCCGTGGCGCCCAGCTCGCCTTCATCAACACCACCTTCTATGGCGACGAGCTGGACATTGGCCGCGCGCTCGCCGACGCCGCCAAGAAGGCCGGCGTGCAGCATTACATATATTCTTCCATGCCCGACCACGGCGCCTATAACCCTGAGTGGCCTTCGCTGCCACTGTGGGAGAGCAAGCATAAGGTGGAAGACTATGTACGGCAGCTGAGGCTGCCCGCTACATTTGTGTACACAGGAATCTACAACAACAACTTCACGTCGTTGCGCTATCCCCTATTCTGCATGGAGCTCCAGGACGATGGGTCTTTTGTGTGGCAGGCGCCATTCCACGAGGATGCGAAACTGCCCTGGTTGGATGCGGAGCACGATGTCGGCCCCGCCATTCTGCAACTATTCAAGGACGGTGTCTCCAAGTGGCACAACGAGCGCATCGCTCTCGCGTACGAGTATCTCTCCCCGAAGGAGGCGTGCGAGGTCTTCTCGCGCGGCGTCGGGCGCCCAGTGCGCTATGTCAGAGGCTCAATCGAGCTCAAGGTGCGAATTCCCACTGGGTATCGGGAACAGCTGGAAGCGCTAGAAAAACTCTTCCGCCCAGATGAGCCAGACCCGAAGAAGCAGCCACCCTACTTTGGCGACGCCAAACTGGAGGCGAGCTGCCCCTCTGAAGCGTGGGAGCTGTGGGAGGGTCCCCGCGGCCTGGAAGAGTACGCCCGCGAGATGTTCCCGCTGGAGGAGGAGGCCAATGGATTGACGTGGATGCTCGATCCCGATGAGCTGGACGGTGGTGACGATGGTATTCAGGCCACCGCCACCTCTGTCGAGCAGTTACGAATTGACGATGACCATGACGACGAGGATGAAGAAGACGAGGGCTTGGTGATGCGGGGAAACAAAAGAGACGAGGAACAGTGGCTTGCATGATGAGTGGCTGAGCCTCTGGACAGACGTTCCCTGCAAGAACCCCTCTCTCCCACCCCATGTCGCTCTCGTTGGCCACACATGGCCAATCAGCAGCCATGGGGCGATACAGCAAACCGTACATCCCACCTGCGCGCATCTACACACGACATGGTGCGATTTATTTCACAGGCGTGTGGGCTCAGAATCATATATTCAAGAGCCATTTTGATAAGCAAGGAAAACGGGGGCAGAGAATCGGGATGGACGTACTCATGACCTATTTTCTTACACTGGGACTTAGCGTGACGGATCTGCATCAGTGCTCGTTATTATTAGGGAACGTGAACAACCCCCGGCATCCTATATTGTTTTGTTTTTGCCTAATCTACTTGTTCCCCTAGTTTCAAGGGGCTTTATGGCGTCGGCGTCGAGGACAGCAAAAAAGAGGAAAGGTGCATAGTTTAAAAAAGAAATCACTGTAATACAGCAAATCGATTCATTATAGGCTACGATGTCTCCCTTCTTTCCCCACCGTGTTCATGTGAAGTTTGGACGAATTATGATAACAAGATATTTTCTTATCGAGTCGATTAGCGCACCCGTCGACCGGCAGTGGGGTGGCGACCTGCAGCTTGTGGTGAGGAACCTCTTGAAACGTGGGGGATAGATAAGATCGATCTCGTACAATCTCGGTAGAAAGTGGGATGACACGCCTGTGAGGTCTCGATTGTGGTCTGGGAAAGTTCCAGGCATTCGGTGGAGAAAACATAATACGCAGACGCAAGGAGTTAATACGCGATGCCAACATGCAGAGAAAATAGTGAGAGACGAAAATCGCGGTCTTGTCTGATCAGGAAACATCCAATATGTTATTTACTTATTACTAAGGTCTTTATTATCCATCAGGGAGTCCCAGGCATATCACTTCACTCTTGGAGACCAAACAGGCGGTATCGG